CCTCCGTCGTGGAGGCCGTGCCCCCGCGCAAGCGCAAGCGCGTCGCCGACGACATGGACTTGTCCCCCGCGAAGCGCGCCGCACCCAGGCCGCACATCCGCCCCAGGGAGAGGAGCGCTAGCCCCGACGAGCCGCCCTCCCTCGCGGATGCGTGGGGCTGCTATGCGAGGAGTAACGCTATGCTGAGGGAGTGCCACTTTCTTAGGCTGGATCGAATGAGACCGCCCGTGCCCAGGGATCCTTCCTAAACCGGGCCGTGGTGGTTGCTGTTTTGCCCCAATGTAGACTAACTGCAGTGAGTGAGGTGCGGTGTTTCATGGTTTCGAATAGACGTTTTGTATACAAGAAAAGAAAGACAGATACCCGTCAAGTTTTTCTGCCTGCCTGCTTTGCACCGACCGTTCCTGTCATCGCTCGCGACATCACCCTCTTCCTTTGCCGACAGACATGTCCTAGACATGAAGATGTCCTAGACATGAAGATGTCCTAGACATGAAGATGTCCTACCGATGAAGGTTGCTGTGCTGTGCTGTTGTGCTGTTGTGCTGTTGTGCTGTTGTGCTGTTGTGCTGTTGTGCTGTGCTCTGCACTGCCGCACTGCCGCACTGCCGCACTGCCCGAGCAAGGTCTTGAGTCTCTACCACAGATATCTTTGCACTTGGTGCTGGGAACGACCCAACCTCGAGCGAGTGAACCTCTTCTCTTCTTTTTTTTTGTCCAAACAGTGCGCTATGATCTAAAATTGGAGCCGGTCCTGCGATCCGATCCCTCTTCACTTTGTCATACACGTCAGTTACTGTACGATGCAGAGGGGAACGCGGGCGGTCCGTGCCGACCAAGGCAAATCGTCAACCCGCTCCCGTCACTCCTCCGACATCACTCCTCATCCTTTCACTCTCCCCCCCCCCCGCCCGCCAACAAGCACGCTCCGACCCACAACCCAACACAGCCCCCCTCGCCGCTGCCGCGCCCCCTTCATCCGTCCCCACCATGGCTGCCAAATCCGTCAACCTCGAGTGCCGCATGTACGAGAACGAGTTTCCCGAAGCGGACGACGTTGTGATGGTCCTGGTCAAGGAAATCCAGGACATGGGCGGCTACGTCCACCTTCTGGAGTACAACAACTGCCAGGGCATGATCATGCTTTCCGAGCTGTCGCGACGTCGCATCCGCTCCGTCAACAAGCTGCTCAAAGTCGGTCGCCAGGAGGTCGCCGCCGTCGTCCGCGTCGACAAGGACAAGGGCTACATCGATCTCTCCAAGCGCCGCGTCGCCCCGGAGGACATCTCCAAAATTGAGGAGAAGTGGAACAAGAGCAGGACCGTCCACTCTATTGTAAGACACGTTGCAGAGACCGTCGGCATCGACATGATTCACTTGTATCAGCGCTGGGGATGGCCCTTGTATAAGAAGTATGGACATGCTTATGACGGCTTCCGTATGGCCGTCAATGACCCGGACTCTGTCTTGGAAGGCCTAGAGATTACCGACAGGGAGCGCGAGGAGTTATTGAGAAATGTTACCCGCAGGTTGACCCCGCAGCCCATCAAACTGCGCGCCGATATCGAGGTCACATGTTATCAGTTCGAGGGGATTGACGCCGTCAAGGCAGCGCTGAAGGCGGGCGAGGCCGCTGGCACGGAGGAGTGTCCCATTAAGATCAAGCTTGTTGCCCCGCCTTTGTATGTAGTCACCACGGCTAGCTTGCAGAAGAGGGTCGGCATTAACGCCCTCTCTACTGCCCTGGATGTCGTCAAAAAGGAGATTATTAAGCGGAAGGGCAAGTTTGTCCTCAAGATTGAGCCTCGCACCGTTTCGGAGAAGGATGATAGGGACTTCTCATCCATGATGACAGAACTAGAAAATGTGAACAAAGAAGTTGCAGGTGACGACGATTCGTCAGAAAGTGACAGCGAGTAAAGTGCAGCTTCGTTTCCGTCGTCAAAATTTTGTCTTTAGCGTGTGCGCAGGAAAAAGTTGGCTGTCTTGCATCCTAGCGACTATTAAACATATTGCTTTGCTACGCTGAATGACTCCAACATTTTCTGCAGGACTGTTTCAGTTTCTCCTTCAAAGCCGTCTGTTTTGGCTTGGGCTGTGAAAACGTAGAGCTGCCCTCCAGTCACGGTCGCCTTCGCGAGATATCGCTTGACCCCTCTTGACGAATCAACATTGTAGTCGATAACGTAGTACAAAAGACCGTCCTTGGATAGCGAGGTTGCACTGTTGACGAATGCGCTGTTTACGCTTTCTTTCTTCTGCTCCACGCCGACAACCTTCTCACCGACGGCCTCTGGTGTACCAAACTCGTCAATTGCCCCGATCTTCACAGAGTCTACGACAAGTCCGGCTGTAGTAGACGGTTCTGCTTCGCTCGTGATGATGACCTCACTGAGATGCGTTTTAATTGGCTTCTTTTTCACCTTCCAAGAAACTGGATAGGAAAAAGTAAAGCCAAGACTTAGCGGCCCTTTGTAGATAGAGTACTCCTCCTCTGCGACCACCTTCGCAGACGAGAGCAGCAAGCCTGCAGCGCCAAGTGCTGCCGCTTGGAGCGCTTGACGCCTGCTGCAATGCTTGGCGTTAGGTGACATGCTCATATCTATTGCATACGAGGATAGCATGCTTCTCTGCCTCCGACGGGACGGCAGCATTACTGGATGGAACTGCCGTGGGGTGTTTGAGGAGTGTGTCAAAGTTGTGGCATTTTGGCGGAAACTGGTCCCAAAGAGCGTTGTTTGAAAAGCGCAAGGCTCCATGCTCAGAATTTCAAAGATCTGCTCTTGAGATTCCCCAGTGCTTTTTGGTTGCTCCTTTATCCAGCAAACGTCCACTTACGGGGAAACCGGCTTCAGGTCAGCTCAACTACAATGCAGAGAGCAAAAACTAGAGCTGAGCTCGACTCGAGTTTCCAAATACCACCTCGAAATCTTTATGATTTTGATCTCAAAACTTGCCATCTGGCCCCCCACTATTGCCATAGTGCGTGTTTACCGTCACTATATTTTCGCAGGAACCTCCAGGTGTTGCCACCGCTCTACGACATTCACGAGACTGCTAGTTCTCACACCTTCCATAGCTTTTCAGGCACATCCCTGACAAGGACTAAAAGGGCGTGATGTCAGCGTTTCTTTCAAGTCCGCTTTACTTCTCGCGGCCCACAACATCACCGTTTCGAAAACAGACATGCTTTCAGTCGAATGTCCGTCGTCTCACACCCCATGCATGTGCGGAGGAGCCTAGGACCAGGTCTTCCGCAGCACTTTCACCACGTGTTGCTTTTGACTATTGTACTGGGTGTCGTTGGGGCTTGCGGGCCGGTTGGATGGCTCAGGAACTGTTGGTTACTTTTGAAAGCGAGCTTGGGGAGGTGGCGCTAAGACCAACGAAGGAGGCAGGGACGTTCGACGTTTGGGTTGACCAGGACCGTGTGTGGTGCCGCGAGGAAATGAGGCGCTTTCCTGAGATGAAAGAGCTGAAGCAACTGGTTAGGAACGCAGTGGTCCCGGGTCGCTCTTTGGGTCACTCGGACAACTAACGTGCGGGCATGTCCGTAGCTGATATTGTTTATGTCTCTCATAGTTTTGGTTGTCGGTGGGATATCAAGCTTTCGCTTTCCGTGCTCAACGCCTGTGATTGTTGCGTGACCCGTGGCAAGATAGCCTGCATATGCGAAAGTCTTATGCGACTTGTTCATTCTTGACAAAAACGGCGGAACTGAAATGCCATCCACGCGCCAGCCAAGTCAGTGGCAGTTTCCATTCACAACTTCGACGGGAACTGAGAACATTCGGATTTCTGCAAGACTCTACACAATCCATTCTGGCAAAAAGCGTACCACAATTCTGGCGAGGGCCTGAGTGGCAATACCGTCGCACGAGTTGTCGGCAATTTGCAAAATCGCGTTTACGGGACGAAGGAAAGACATTGGATAGAAGCAATGTCTCCTGCAGCATGAAGTGCATGCAGCAGTTCAGTTCGAACATGCCATACCGAGTGGTCAAAATGCACTGCAATAGACGATCACGAAGTTGCCATGGTGATGATGGGAAATCATCACTTTGCGATGATTGTCTCTATCACTTGGAAGCTCTAGCTCTTTTCAATCAACAGATGTCGAGGTCATTCGTTTGGCAGGATAGGAGATATTCGCGATGTGATATGGCTAGACGAAAGAAGATGGAAGAGGCCACAGTGGACCAAATGGAACCGCTGAGACGCTGTATTCGGTTATGCGTTTACCCCTCACTGGAAAGGATCAAACCCATGATTCTTGATCCTCGCAGACAGGCACACCGACGATGTCGGCGACACGCAATGGGGTAGGATGGCATGTCTGGGTCCGGCTGGGAGGACATTCATGGCTAATTGATTGTACACAATCTGGGCATATCGTGAGGAGCTTAGGCTTAACTCCTGAAGTGACAAGATCGATTCTGGGCCATCGCCGCAACGAAAACTTTTTTGCAAGACGCACACTACTGCACAGTAACAGTTGGTGCCAAAATGGTCATCGGAAGCGGAACTGATCACCCAAACAACCGCCGCTGTAGCTGCGCTTCGCTCAGAACTAGGCGCACCATTGATCCCGTTCACTTGCGCGGCCTCTAACTCTTTCTATCTCTAGATAGTATCTAGAGGACAAATGAGGTGAGGCCAAATAACCTCAATTAGGCCATTTCTCGGCCTGTTTTTCGTGGGCGTGCATTTTCCCAGCTGCGGTGGGGAAAATGTATCTACAACGCCAGACCTGAGGGTTGCTGTGCGACAAACAAGTCCAGAGCACTACCTGCCAGCCCCAGACGTCTCATCAGAGAAACACTTTCGCACGTGATTGAATCCCTGTCTCTTTTCCGATCTTCTCAGAGAAATGCGCAGGTTGATCGCCATCGGACGTTGTTTGTGCACGAATATCAGAGATACTATAAGGTTGTCCGTGAAGTCACGAAAACGCGTGTTTTGGCGGCGTGTTTGCTCGGATTTTCTGAACGCAAAATTTTCAGACAACGCGTTTGGCAAAACTCACAGCATCCCGAAAACTGGGGGCATTTGAGTTTTCCACGAGTTTCACATCCGCCTGATCACAGCAGTGACGGATCGACCCGTCTTGAAGGAAAACGAAGTGGGTTTTCCGCTCCCTCATCAGCACAAACGAGTCTCATACTGCACGGGTCGCACCGGTTTGCGTCATGGACGTCCCTATCACTTCATCTACCCAGAGTCCATCAACGGATCAAAGCACCACAAGATCTGCCACATATACCGCCAAAGCAATCGCAGAAGAGAGGCAAGGAGAAGCCTCTAAAAAGCGGTCCTCTCCAAATGACCCCCCTCAGCCTGTCAAGAAGACGTAACACATCGCCCTTTCGACTGAGAACCATTCTGTCCTTGTGGCGAGCTACAATATTTGCTTCAGCGAGTATTCGGCGTAGGTGCAAGTGGTCCGTCGGGCGGCACAACGACGTACCAGTCTTGCTTTTGTTGCGGGCAGGTACGTGGAAAAAACGTGTTATTTTACGGAGAACCTTCATGTTCCCGGCATGAGATGTCGAAGTCAGGGAAGGGCCCTGCACCGCAGCACGACAACTGGAGATCTATAGGATTTCTACAGGATTTCTACGACGCACACATGTTCCGCAAAGAGGAAAGCGTGACGTTTTTGTCGTTCCTTTTCCTCGCATACTCAATACCGGGCAGCAGGAATGTGTCGGAGAAATCTAAGTAACTACGGAACACCACAGGGGATGGGGGTACATTTCGTGCACTTTTGGAGATGCTACCATGTTGTTCGTATCGGATAATCTCTGCGGCACCAGAGAATACTTATTTGCAGCACTCTACGGAAGAGAAGCGTCATGCTACCCCCGACGCTAGTTGCGGAGGGCGAGAGGCACTCTACTCATGTAACGATCGTTTGACGTTCGTTCTGGATGGCCAGTTCACGGTGTCTCTCCCGCCGTATTGGGTCATTCACAAGGCGGTGTGGGTCCCATTGCGCAACATGCGAGGACCACGGCGACGCGGACTTGATTGCTCAAACGGTTACGAGGGGTCCGCATTTATACTCTCGAAGAGCTTGCTTGGCCACTCCCCGCGTTCCACCATTGCACTTTGACTTCGCAGGGAGACACCCTACACGCTCTAGCCCTGTCCCTAAGCCACTCAATAATTTCGCCAGCTGGGAAAAACTCCGTGAAGCCAATCATGAATTGACGAAGAGGATCTTGCGTGTCCCCTTTTATCATGCACGTGGCTTACAACGAAAACAAGCTGCCCGTTAGTTCTCCCCATCTACCATTGAAGAAGTAGCGCCCTAAGACGCGAACGGTCTTATTCGGCCAAAAATTAGGCGAACTCGGGTTCCCAGATAAAGTCTAGCTGTGTGCGAAGCCAGCTGGAGGCTTGCACTGCGTCTTGGTGCTGCAGTTCAAATCCCAAACCACGACTGTTAGCATACCCAGAAACAGCTGCCTTATTCCAATTCTCACAGTAATCTGAGTGCACTAATTCCAAATTCGTTCGTCTCCTCTGCTTGGCAATCTGCGCCACGTTCGCGAACGAAAAGACCTTGGCAAGCAGACACACAAAGCGTCAGTCAACTCTCCATGAATCAACAGAAGCTGTTTTTTGCTAGTATTCTGGCATGAAAACAAACTTTACACGTGTCCACGCGTGAAAACACCATTGGCCGAGTAGAAAACGCTGGTCATGGAGTACAGAGAACGACCGTCGTGCCGTCATTTCCCTCCAAAATCACCGTTTCCCTGCACGGGTTGATCCCCCATCCAAAAGTGCGCCGGAGGCGCCCTCTTCACATTGCGCTGGGGAAGAACGTTGGGGAGTCGCCAATTCATACTTGCCCCTCCCCAAACCCATATAAATATAAACCACATCTACCGCGGGTGCTCTGTATATACAGTCAGCTGGTGTTGGCATCCTCAACATCGCTCTTCTGTGTCATGAATAAGTAGGAATTGGCATGTGCCTGACTGTCCTAACCTACGACTCGGTGTCAACATCGGGCATTGACTCAAAACAGACTCGACGTCGCCTTGCCCTTGTCTAATTCGTCCACTTCCGATTTCATTCCCTCCTTCATTTTTCTATTTACCACCAAGTCACCCAACGTCCTTCCGTCGCCGCCCGCTGTCCGCGTTCTCGTTCATGGCGAATGGCAAAGTCGACGACCTTGCGTGGTCCCAGCTGCGCCCCAGGCGCTCGGATCCGCAATGCATTGTCGACTCCATCCCCCCCGAAGACATGCAAACCTTCCTTCGTCTAGTCGCCACCAACCCCTTTCTTCCCTGCGATGACGCCGCTGCTATTCGTAGAAAGATTGCTAACTTGAGGCTCTGGAGAACAGACGCCGCCAACCCAAATACCATCACGTACGTCCTGCAACTTCACACGCATCATCCCTCAGCCATGTCTCTCGTTCCATCAACGCCTCCTTCTGCAGTTAGTCAGACCAGCACCCGTCCCCAATTGCTGTAGGAGCGGTCCCGCCCTGACTTTCGCCACGCTGCACCGATTGTTTCGCAAGTCCTATTTTGAGCCTCGCTTTCAACTTTGATCTGACTCTTTGTGCACTTTCTTCGCATTCAACCTCCGCTTCCAACCTCTACATCCAACTGTGCCTCTTGACACTACGTTCGACACAGGAAGGAATTTTCGTTGATCAGGCCGTCTTCAAAACGCAGAAGGGAAGACTACGGCGGTTTCGTAGTCAACGGATATGCCGCAAGTGTGCGCGATACCGATTCTGATGACGAGCAGCCCAAGAGGAAACATAGACGCTCGTCGAGGCCCGCGCTTTCTCCCCTTGTACCAAAAACACAGCTTAGAGGGGACTCTCCGCAGAGCGATGACACTCCCAACATCGGTGCAGAGTTTCAAGCGGACATCCCAGCGGGTCCAATGCCGCGGGATTACTGGACAAAGCACCCGCCCGAGATTTTGTCGAAAGTCGTCTACGTCGAGAGCAAAATTGGTGGCTCCAAGGCAGTGGACATGTTTCTGCGCAATGTGAACGTGAAGAAGCGTCGCCGTGATGGGTTTCCACTAGCTCCTTATGCTACCGAGGTTGCTCTGACGAAGCTTTACGGGCTGCGTGGAGATCCAGTACAGGCTCTCAAAACGGCCATGCGTGCCCTGCCGCGTGGTCCATTCTTTCCGGGTATCAAGGGCTACTTTAAATATGAAGAGCAGTGCATATTTGTGAGGTCGCTTGCCGAACGGTCAAAGGAATTTGGGCAAATATCAAGAGAGATTCTGCCCCATAGATCCACCTCTGAACTTGTCTGGATGTACTACACACGCCACAAACAGTTAACGATGCAGAATGGCGGGATCAAGAATGGGCTGGTTCTGGATGACGGTGGAGAGAAACTAAAGAGAGTTGAGCTTAGAACGGAGAGGATGGTTAGCTCTCTGCGGAACCTGGCTACTACTGCCGGTGACGGCTTTCCAGTAGATAGTAGAGTTGAGCGTGCTGTGTTGGCCTGTCGCCGTGTAATGGTGCAACGGCGGAAAAAGGCCAGGGAAACAGAGATGTACCGCAGGGTTCCTCGCCTTCGTAACCAAAATGCTCCGTCATGACTAGCCGAGTCGCTCTTCCGCGAACGAATTTGCTAAACGTCCAGGTCAAAGATCAAGTAAGTTTAAAGGATGTGGGGAGATGTCTACATGTGACAAGGCGTCGCGTACAATTCGTCGCAGTGGATCCAAAGCACCCCACGCAAAAACCGGCGCGGGTATGATCCTATGGTGATTGGTGACATCGATCGAGCCCTCACTCAACTCTAACTAAAGGAGTAAACGATCTTAATACTTTAAGGGTTAATACGCTTGTGAGTAACTCTTGCTAAAGTCTAAAAACACATAAGACAATGTTCCTTGGAGTAGTAAAACGAAGTTTTCTTCGACAATATTAATGATAACATACGATGACATCACCGCATGGTGGACAGTTTGTCAGTTCCGCCCATTTCTGATTGCTTGTTGGACGAATAAATTTCTTCTATCATGACACAGAAAGTGTTTGTAAGATTGCTGGGGTTCCTCGTCGTCCCTGACCTTGCCAATAAAGACATCTCGCAAGAGCGCCAGAGCTCTGCGTCTGGTCTGCACTGAAACCAGGAAAAAAACAATTCAATTCTAAGTAGTGGTCCTCCCCCGCACATAAGTTCACGTATGTGCGAAGACTCTTCCTTTTCTGCATTCCACCACCTTGCGGACTGGTGCCGGATATGCGAAAATAAGTCCCCATAAGATCCACAATCTCCTGCCAAGCGGGCCTGGCCTCGAAAGTACGCGTAGACTGTCTTTCGGGCCGCCTGGGCCCCCAACAGAAAGTCGCGAAAACCGATATCAGGCTTGCGGGTTACTTCGGAGAACAACTCTTCTTAAATAAAAATTAGAGGGACCTCTTCAGACAAGATTAAAGCCAACTTAAACCTGCAACGAACAATACTTGACACATCTCATCTCCACAAAGGTCTATGAGTAATGGAACCCATATAGAGGCATGTACAAGCTTATCCCGACCAACTGCACACCAGATTCACATCGCTCGCTACGGCGCATTATCATCGACACCCATGTTGCGAAACACTGGTAGACGTGAGCGCGATGTCGGCGAGCCAGCAGGAATCGCATCCGCGGTCCCTTCAAGCCCTTCCACTCTCTTCCCGGTTTGCAGTTTCAGACTTGCACTCGTAGCCGGGCCGGGGGGAGAAACGGCGTGGTTGTTTGTGCCCGCACTCGAGAACAAGCTCTCACGCTGTGTTACACTATTTGAAGATACAAAGGGGCTTCCAATGATCTTGTCACTCTCGCTAATAGTTGTCACAGGCTTGGAGACTTGCTGCGCAGCATGAACCAGGTCGTGGTCTGGGAAATCGGTGGTTGGGAAGCGAAGATCCGAGTCGGCACCGGAAAGTTGCATAATCCTGTTGTGGAATGCAACGTTGTCCGGGTAGTCATGAAAAACATTCGCTGTTGCGTAATCAACTTGACTCGCAGGTAGTGCTGCCGATCGATCTGGGAGATAGTCGGTGGGCTGTGCAGTAGCAGCTCGTTGATCCGCGTTAATAGAGTCAATGAAAGATTCAAAAGGGTTCGTTGCACTAAGAGAGGACTCGAAGAGACGCAAGTTGTAAGCATAACTGTCCTGAAGATCCACCAAATGCTGATTCTTGGCACCCATGAGACCCTGCTGACCCGATGGAAAGTGTGCATGATGACCCAAGGCACCTGCCGAGGCACTGCTTAGGGCTTGATTCGCAGCCGCATGGACGATATGCTCATTGGTCTGCTTGGTGTCGTGAATGAAGCGGCACCGCGACTCATAAGGACAAGAGCCAGTCGTGACAAAATTGCGGCATAGCTTTGTCTTGTATCTTGGATGCCTGCGGACGGGGCGCAGTTCATCTGGGCCATGCGCGAACTGGCACTTGGCACCATACTTGCAATATCCGCCCGATTCCGCGTAAGTGCGACAAATCTCAGTCTTGTAAAGCTCGTTCTTGATGCGCGGGCCGGCCTGATTCGGAGCTTGGATCGCACCCATAGCCAGAGGCGAGGGTGGGATCGTCGGCGACGACGACGGAGGCACAGAGCTCGGGCGGAGAATGGGAGACCCGATAGGATGTGAGGAAAGATCTATGGGCGAGGAGGCAGCAAGCGCCTGGGCATAGACTGACCGATTTGGAGATGACGAGGCATGGAGCGATATGGGCCCCGCAGATGAAGTAAGGTAATGACTCAGCGACGAGTCTGCACGTAGCTCGGAGGCCATACGTGCAGAAGACGGTCGTTGATGTTGGCTCTGATGCTGCTGCTGCGATTGATGAGTTTGATGATGACGAGGAGCAGCGGAAGCAAAAGGGTTTGGTTGCAACGAAGCAGATCGATGGAGCAGATCGTTGGCCTGGGCATTTGAGGTAGCGGTGTCGTTGGTGGGATCGTTAATACGAAAGTCCAAGAAGCTGCGAAGAAGTGAATCCGAATCTGCTGATGGATCTGGGTTGTCATTGTTGTTTGAAGAGATAGGCAGATGAGGAGTGCGCGGACGAATGGTGGGAATAGAAGGAAGGGAAAGGTTCGGCAGAGAGGAGGAAGACAGATCGTAGCCGGCTAAGTCTGCCGGGGGCCAGAGCGGAGCAAGATGTGCGGCGGCTGAAACAACGGGATCATCCGGGTCAGAGACAATTGCAGGCGACGAAGACGGGGAGTGCAGCGCATGGGATTGCCATATGTGATTTGGCATTTCGTGCAAGTGGTGCTGCTGATGTTGCTGCGGTTGAGGGTGTGGTTGCTGCTGAGAAGGTATGTCCGACGGGGTGGAAACTGGAACCTTGATGTATGCCATGGGACGAGGTGCGCGGGAACGTGAGATTGGAAATGAAAAGCTTGAAGTCTCCGGAAGCAAAAGCTATCCGGCGAGTGGGTTGGTTCCACCCCGAGGGGCCCAGTGGCATCGCGAACTGCAGACACGCAGGAGTGTGATTCTGCAGGGCGAAGCGTGAGAGATGAATAAGATGGAGGGTTGGGTAGGGGTTAGGTAGGGGAGGGGGAAGGGAAGGATGGTAGAAGGGCGGAAGGCGGGTATGTAGTAGGCGGGGTACGGGGGGGGGGGGGGGGGGGGGGGGGAAGGGAAAAAAGGGGGGGGGGGGCGGGGGGGGGGGTGTAAGGGGAGTTTCCCAACCCGAGGGGGGAGGA